GGTCTGCTCCAGTACAAAGAAAACTTCATCCAGGATCACGATAATGACCATCGTCTACAAAAGTGGAACATTTTGTACTACCCTACTTTGTATTGACTCTTTGGCCAGATGGAAAATCAAACTCTTAGCAACGTGATTCGGTGTGTGGAGATAAACTAAAGCAGTAGGTTGATGCATAACCACAAATATTCTTCTAATAATATGCCTACTCTATCTACTCTACTAGAAGTTGTTTCAAGATCCATATACCATAACCTCCAAGGTATACATTGTACTTGATCGTGTTGCGTAACAGTCATCCAACAATAGAAAAGTTGGCAAAACTTTCACCTATGCATCAAGGTGTATGACAATGCCTGGACAATCCTACTTTTCGACACTAAGATCCAATTCTTGCCAAAGAATCTTCATCTCCATGTAATAATCGGTAACATTTCTTTCTTCTTGCTTCATTTGCCATAATTTTGTCTTAATCTCGAAAATTTGGGATGAATCCTTGGCATCGGAGTACATCTCTTTGACTGCTTCCCATATATATTTTACAGTTGGCATAAACAAGTACGTTTTACATATAGAGGGCATCATCGAATTCACCAGCCATGCAACCACCATGGAGTTTTCAGATTTTCGTCTAGCTTGAAGCTTTGCATCTGTAGACTGCTTGGTGTATCTAGTGAGGTATCCAATTTTACTTTTTCCATCAACTACCAGCCTAATTGACTTAGTTCATTCTCTGTAATTTCTTCCATTTAGTTTTTCCACCATGAGTTGAAAGGAGGAATTGTCGATTCCGATCAAACTCATACTGATTCAAAGGGGTCTTCCTCCATTAACTTTCGAGTTAATGATTTTCTTACAATACTGTGGCTCAATTTATAATACAAAAGATGGTAAGTTAAGGAATGTAGTTTCCCAATTAAAGAAAGAAAAAACATTCCCTAACTAATCACAAATTATACCGTACAAGATATTACAATAATCTATAATAATTTCCTTCCATAATAATCCCCTTATTTTCAAATTTCTACAAGTGGATTGTCACTCTATACACGAGGCCTATGATGATCGAATTATTACTCTTCCGCATATCACGACTGTGTTTACCAAGGTGATGACTGATAAGTATGTTTTTACATACTTATTAGGCACTTTAACGAGCTAATTATTGATGAAATTAAGTGGATTCCCATTTATAATTGTGTAATTATGGTGTTTGTAGGCCAAAAGTCCAAATTGGATGAGAAAAGAGCCGAATCCAGGAAAAAAGGACCAAAAGTGTACAAAAAAATAACTTGGTGACCAAAGTGTACAAGTGCTGAAAGTTTAGGGACCTATTGTTGCAATTTTGGAGGGCTAAAGTAATATGAAAATCAAATTTTGAGGACCAAGTTGTTCATGATCAAAGTTGAGGGCCTTGTGTGCAATTGAATGGAGGACTAAATTGAAAAAAGAAAGAAAGAAGAAAGCCCATGCTCGCTCGCAGGCTTACTATGGCGCTCACGTAGGAGGCTCTTTATGATATCCCGAGGCTAAAAGCATCTTACCGTGCGCGCGCGCCGCTTCCCGGCCAAGCAAATTTTACCTAAATTTTGGGACCTCTTCCACAATTTCACTTAAGACGATTTTTGGCCATTTAAATACCCATTTGTTGGTCACTTCTAGAGCAAGACTTATAGGAGAACACTTAGAAAATCTTTCAAAGAGAGAAGAGGCAAGAATAAGGGAGAATTTGCAGCAAAAATTGGGAGTTTACAAGGAATATTAAAGATTTCAATCTCTCATTTCTTCAAGAATATATTCAAGGGACGGTTTTCTTCCACTATCTTGTATTTTTCCGTTATCTCCTTCATTTTGTAATGGGTTATCTCTTTATTTCATTTTTGTGCTTCTATTTTGCAATGAACTAAGTGTTTAATGTTGGGATTTATGATATAGCTTGACCTAAGTTTCTTTAATGTCAATATTCATCATTTAATGTTTTAATTACTATGTTATTGTGCATTTATTATTGTGCTTAAATTTTCTTCATGTATATGGCCAATATATGATTGAATTGAGTAGTTTGTGCAACTATTGAGAGATTGTTGTGCATTCTTGATCAAAATAATTAATGCCCTAGGTTGTTTTAGAAGATAGAGATATACTCCAAACGCTAGGTGACCTATTGAGTTATTTTCATCACGATTTAATGCGGTCCGTTGAGTTTTTATCAACATAGAGATAGTAGGTAAGATCAATCGAGATAGGAAATTAACTAAATTTGAAAAATCGGGTCTAACAATGTAATGAGGTAATTTGCATTTTCGATTTGTTGGATATTAAAGAAACGACAGTTAAGTGACATTTTAAATCCCAACTCATTTATAAGTCAAATTTCCTTCTCTTTCATAATTGTTATTTCAATTGATTTTCAAATTTATTTTCCTTTCCTTTTCACATATAAAATCTAATTGTGTGCTTCAATTGTTAAAATTGAGTCAACAATTGTATAATTTAAAAAAAAAAAAAAAAACACTCTTCAAGGAATCGATACTCAGACCCATAAGTCCACTTTATTACTTGAATGCACCCATGCACTTGCGGTATATAATTTTAGCGAACAATAACTTGATAATATCACAAATTGTTAAATAATTCATTCATTTATGCTTGTATTTGCATGATTTATTGATGCCTAAATGCATTAAATACCCTTATATTTTAATTTAGGTAGCAAATGAATGAATATGGCGAAAATTAGGAGAAAAGAGCTAAAAATGACCAAAATGGAGGAAAGTGAAAGTTCAGGGACTAAATTGCAATTTCCCAAAAGTTGAACTGGAAGGCAAAATGAAGATGCAAAAGATTTGAAGGCCAATTGATTGAAGAATTAAAGTTTTGGACCAAGGGAAACAAGAAAAGAAGTCAAGAATCGAAGAAATGAAGTTCGGGGACTAAAGTGCAAATACTCTACACTTGTGCTTAACCTTATGATGAAGATTCAAAAATGTTAGAGGTCAAGCGGATGAGGAAAGAGGTCAAAGGGATGAAATATCATCAAAGTATGATCCCACATCAATTCCAATCAAAGAAGTTACGTATCGATTTTTAGCCTTATATTGGAACCCCTTTTGACATGTCATACGGTCGAATTGGAAGATTACATCTTAAGAAAAGTTGTAGCCCTTTAATTTAGCTTTCCAACGCAACTTGAATCACCTCAATCGGATATCGGGAGAGGAAGATATGCTCAAAATACTGAAAGTTGTCCAACGGAGAAAAATTAACTGGGTGTTTGACACCCATTTTTGTGGAAAAAAGAATTTTAAAATAGTAGATTGACGAAGAATATGTGGATAAAAAATAAGGAAATTTTTTTTATTTACGTGTAATATTATTTTAATGAAGAATGTGTGGTTAAAAAAAAAAGAGAAAAATGTATTTTAATAAGAATGAGAATCAAACGGTCTTTTATACTATGCGTACGTATATGCCTATAGGTCTTGCATATGCGAGATTCCAAAAATCCACTACTCAGGCCTAAACAAGTCTACTGTGCGTACGCACCATTTGTACGCATGGTTCATTCAAGGGCCGAATCTTAGTTTCCTATTTTCGATCAAACTCTTAAGGTAACTGAATTTTTCACGACTTTTAAACCCTGAATCAACCCAGAACGCAGGGAGACGCCTCCAAACCCATTCTTTTCACTTTGGTGCTCAAGAAACTCCATGGAAAACTAAGGAATTTGGTGAAGTTACATAGGAACTCAATCGGTTTTGATGATTTCGACATCCTTCAATTCATGCAATTGAGTTTTTCATTGTTAAACAGTTTTAGAATAAGATTTCCTTGTTTTGAATGAGTTTTGACATTAGTATAACATTTATTATAATTTCCATAGACTCAGTCACGCTTTTTCTATCGAATATTCGAAATATTGGTTAAATTGCAATTTCAATTACTTAAAATTATTGGTGTGATTCTCTACTGCCTTATGCCTACGTATATAGTGGTTTTTTAATCTGATTTCAATAATTAATTGTGGGAATTTGTTTTTAGGAAACTTGATTTCTAGAATTACCATAGAATTAAATTTGTGCTTAACGTCATATCTTCCGATTAAGGAGTTACATTTAATGTCTTTAATCGAGTGAAAACATATGAATTGATGATGTTGAATGACACAAACCGGTTGGGGGAATTCCGACGCTTCACTTTCATATACATTGATCTTATTTCACTACGTGAACTTTAATTTCATTCAAACCGTAAAATCATTACAAATTTTGAGAGAACCATTACCTTTTGGACCTTTGGAATATTTTTCATCTCCCTGTGGATACGACACCCAAAACTGTACTATAATCATCGCATTATACTTTGGGCGTAATCATGACTCGACAATGGCATCAATTTGTTGACATCAGTTTCTTGTCAGCAAATTGATGCTTCTAGATCGTCCAGCATCAATTTGGAGATGTTATTAAGATCATGAAGATTATGATGAAGATTATGGACAACCCACCTACCTTAATCACGTACATAGTTATATTTTACCACAATTACTTTTACCATATTTAGATGTATATGTAAACTTCATTCTATATAATGCTAAGGATGCCTAAAGGGAAATCATTCAGCCAATTATTGTTACATTTGAGGTGTGCATTCTGCATGCTCTTGAGCAATTTAAACAGGTGACTTCCAAATAATTGCATACATACATATTATACGAGAACAGAGAAGATTGACTACATACATAATATATGAAAGCAAAGGAGAAGACTGAAGACACCTATGCCCACCCAAAAAAGGAAACTAAAACTATTTTTAAATTAGAGATGACCCACAGCAGAAAGACTATTTCTGCCTCAACCCCGCTGAAACCCTCACACACCACAAATTGAAATTACAAGCTCGCTGAACCATAGTTACTGAAGGATGTAAGGTCAAAATCAACGGAACTCTGTGCAGAAATACTTAAAATTGTGAAGTCACATAATAGGTTAGATACAAACCTGAGATTGATGGTTCCTTTGACAAGAGCCACAGGCAGGTATTCTTCCCCAATAAAAATATCTGACCAATGGAAATGAACTCTTCCACCACCTCCACCACCACTATTATGGCTGCCGTGTCCTCCAGAAGTTGAGATGGTACCGGTATCACCAAGTACCAAATTATGGACGAACAGAAGAACGGTTCCGCCAGATCCACCCCCAGAACCAATTTCTGAAGCTACTCCATCATCCTGCCCTTGAACATATTTTCCAGGATTCTCTCCATCAGCTCTAAGTGTACCATACAATATCAATTTTGACAATGAGTGATCCAGTGAGCCCATCACTGTTTCAGGAATGAATTTATGAAAGAAAGTGACCAATCAGCAGAAGCTATGTGGAAAGTAACCTATGAAGAGGGTTATTAAGAAGCAAACATGTTGGTGATTAGTATCAAAATCTTATACACAAATCAATCTTGTAAGCAACCACAGAAAGTTATATGAAACAATATGGCAGCTTTTCCAATCTTCAATATAAGTTTTTCAAAACTTTTAGCAAAAGCCATCCAATTGCTCATATTCATGCACAAAATAACCTTCAGCTTCATTTATTATTTTCCCTTAAGAACTTTTAGTGTCTATTGCAGGACAAAACCAATATTAAATGATTTCATTAGTATTTGAAACTCCTGGTCAACTCCTTCAAAGGACATAATTAAGCAACAGTAAAATTGCAGTGAAGCCAACTCCACGATAAGAACTGCAATAAACGTCCCAAATACAACCACCTATCTAAACATGCTAATAAAGAAATTCTACGTTTGTGATTTAGTAACAAAAAGACACCAAATATCTGAATGAGATGAAGATCACAAATTTAAAAGCAACCGAAGGTGAAAAAGTGTATTTGTCTGACTAAATAAAACACAAACTTTGGGTTGTTGAACTCAGATATTATAGAGACAAGCATGTGGAGCTAATTTGTTAATGTTGGGACGCTGATGTGTATTTACCTGAAAATCTAACCAGTATTAGAGTTAATTTCTCCAGCCTTGACTTAGAATTATAAACACAAACATATCTACATTCTGAAATCATCAATTTTAGCTTACCAATAATACCTCCACCAGCAGCAGCACTTGGCAGACTCTCATTTCCACTTCCACTACCAAGTTCACAAGGCAACTCAGCATTACCATACGTAACACCACCCTTGATATAACTTCCATCATTGTATGCATCCCCACCTTTACCACCATGTCCAGCACCACTGCCAACACCATGAGGCAGATATTCTCCACGTCCTAACCCACCAGTGCAGCCTGTATATCAGCCAAGTCAAGATTCCTAATTCTGGTTTCTAAACCATTATCATAACTTGTAGAACTGGAGGAATCATGCTGGGGAAGGCTTTTTGGAATAAAGAAATCAATAAAACTATCTATCTTTTGATATGTAAGAATATTAATGACTAAAAGTAACTGAAGTTACATCATCCATAACTCATAAGACCTACGCTGTTGTTCCATAGTAAGACAAAATATCTTCTAGTAGGTGGAAAAAATCATACCCAGTCCAGATGCACTTATTGCTCCAGAAGATTTCACCACCACAGTTCTCACCCAGTGAAAATGTATAATGGATCCTTCTAAGAAGCCTTCAACTATAATATCTTCAACTCGACAAATCTGCATGAGAAGAGAAGTTGAATCCTTGCACCAAAAAGGGCAAGAGGCATCAAAGGTATCCAAAACACATCCTACTCTGACTGATATAAAATAACTTGTAACAGAAGAAACTTCTCAAAGTGTTAACTCTGAGTATTAGAACACCTGAAGAGTGAAGGACAATGAAGCATTCACATTGCAATCCTCGGGGGGATGAAGCAATTCAATAGGACAATCCTTCTGTTCACAGTAGAGCTTTGAAGACCTACATTGTCAAATAGGACGATTCAGAAATGAGTGCAGCATGAGCATAAAGTGCTACCAAATCAGTACTTACATGTAATTGTCACTCGAATTTTCCAAGGGACCTCTTAGAACGGATTCAGGCCCAACCTTTATATAGAGAAGTTTTTAACATTATCAGCAGAAAATGGCAGGATTTTGCCAGATATAATAAATATCTTAAAGGATTACAAGTGGCTTCAAAAACAACCAAAATTATTTTTGATTGGAAGGAAATAGAATATTAAAGCAAAAGAGAAGCCATTTAGAGAACCAGTGTTGGTGGTTACAAGCAAAGAATAATCAAGTAAAAAATTGATCCCAATTCCACCACAAATCTATCAAAATTTATACATTGAAGCAACCAGCAGCCTCAGCATTTTTGTGATACTATAGCAAAGAAATGCTTACATTTCTGTGATAACTCAATTTCAAAATAAAAGTACTTCTGTTTTAGTACAGAATGAAATACAAAGAGAAAAGAGCTTGTAAGTTTAAAAAATTTGACTTCTAAGTGAAGTAACACTTGAACAGCGTAACTTTGTTAAGCCAAGTCACAGAAGTGGAAATGCTGTATGGCATAAATAAGAAGCTGAATTAACAAGAAGAACATTTAGAAGCCTTACTCTGATAGCATAAAATAAAGATAAAACCAAACGCTGAGCTTCAATAAGATCTCCTGGTCCTGACAAGTTCAAGGATCCTTGTCCATGAAGTCCCAAATTTGCCGTTGAGTGTATCATGGACGACCCCTGCCATAGTTTTTCACAATCGTAAATATTATTAAAAATACCTTATTTATGAGCTAAATATAAATAATGTAGAATGACTTACTTTAAGAACTACTAAATTGCTGGCTTCAATCAAAGATGTAGCGACAATTTCATCGCTATCACCACATATAAGCATTTTGGAATTCAACATCAAATGGATTTTCACAGACATTCTCAAAGCACCATAGACCTGAAAGGAACAACAATATTGTAGATGTATCATCCCACCAAACAAAAAAAGAAACCGCCTATATATACAACACTGTTTTTTAATGCATCAACAACATGCAACACAAAAATTAATTAGATGATAATTTGAGAAAGCTTCCATATGAAGCTTGGACTCAGGTACAGGCAAAAGCTTAAATCTTGGTATGTAATCATCAACTTTGAGCACCTATGGCCAGCTAAATAATGTCCTAACTTAAGATACAGTGTAAGATATGCCTTCAGAGAATTCGTAATTTTATAATAGAGTAATTTGAGATGCTTTTATGAATTTCAAAATAGGGAAAAAAATTGTAGCACATCTTTGTGGAAAGATAAATATATATTGTTGAACCGCCTAATGTAGAAGCTTAAGTTGTGGGAGGGACAAATTTATTCACTATTGTCACTCACATATAGGCCAAATGACAAATGCACAATCTCACAAATGTATGGCGACAATACTTAAACCCCTATCAATTGTCTGTTTTGCTAACACTTAAGCACAAGTCCCACAGTTGGAATTTGAAACAATATGGCAGAGAAAGAACAATTTGAATCTGCATGGTTCACCACCATATCCACATACAGAGACGAGAGAAGAATAAATATTAGTAGAAAGTTGTTGGAAATTGTCTAACTATTAGAAAGTAAAAAATCCTATTTATACGGTTACAAATAATTCTAAAAGGAAAGATTGTTGTAATAATTACATAATCAATTAGTAAGGAAAATAATTGGAAAAGTATCTATGTATCACGAAGAATAATCTTATAATCTTTCCACATCTCCTCAAACTCAAACTAGTGTTCACAAAAACCAAATTGAGTTTAAAAACTGAAATAATCCCAAGTATATTGTATCTAACAAGGCCAAAAGGATGTTGCATAATTGCATTGACAATGTTTGCTAACTAAGCCAACCAAGAACTAGAAGCTAGCGTAAAAGAAAATTATCATCCGCCAATCTTGAACAACCAGCACCGAGACTTCAGAGGCATATCACATAAGGATAAAGAACAATGTCAAAATAGGATCTTCAAGCAGTTTTTCACTAAATTTGCCGAGGATAGACTAAGTTAAAAGTACTCCTCGGTAGTTTGATTCTCACTTGCTCTTTTTCTATAGGATTTAGTACTTCCCCTCTTAGTTCTTTCATTCATATGCTGCATCTTTTTGCTCTAGGAAGGTCAGGTTTGTGCCTCCCTTCCTCTTATTCTCATGAGTTTGATTATATATATATGTATGTATGTATGTGGAAAACCCAAACCCCATCAACCTTCCCTCGTGGAACCTAAAAATCCATTGAAGTTGGTATTTTGCTTAAAATTAATAAAAAAATCCATGAGTTCACCAGCAATTCGCCCAAAGATGAAGTCACTGACTTGCCTAACAAAAAGTGAGGCACAGATGGACGAGATTAAGAAAATGAAATGGAAACAAATGTGGTGGAAAAGAAAAATAAATTTTCTTTCGATGGTTCGGTAATAATACCACAACGAAGTAAAATCTTTAAACAAACCTCTAACATGGTAAGGATAGACACTAACGAAACCAATTACGTGAACTTGTGATATTATAAAAATGATCTAAAATGTCCCAAATAGCAGCCAACAAAATTGGGTCAAAGAAAGGAGGATGACAATTAAGATTCAAATTAGAAAATTCAACAGGTCCATGTAATTGGATTGTAACAAATTGTTTCTGGGTTTGGAGAGGGAAAACAAAAAGTTCACATTCTATATTTTTGAATTCTTTTCTTAAGAATAGATTTCTTCCAATTTGTGCACCAAGTGCTTGCAAACCATAGTGAAATTGCATGTGGAGGACAAAGAAAGTTGAGAGAGGACTCAACATTGTGCAGTCACCAGGAAGAAAGTTATGGAAAAAAACAGCAACAATGGTGATAACTTACAAATATAGAGCTGAATTTAGCCATACGAGGGGTACAAGGCCACTCGCCAGATAACAGAGGTGATTTCATGTTTAACCAAAGTTGGATCAAATCCACTCCATACCATGTCAGAAAATTTAAGTTGTATTTAACAAACTTGTCCAACTATTAAAAAGTAAAAGACTCTATTCATAATGTTACTGATAACCTAAAATGAAAGATTGTGTGGCAATTAAACAATCAATTATTAAGAAAAATAATCTCATATAATCGGAAAAAGAATCATGAAGAATAATCTTGTAATCTTATCACAACTTCAATAAAAGTACACAAACCCAAACCCTTACAGAGATAAATAAGTGAGATTACATTGATCTCATAGTCTTACCAAAAAAAGATCATATGGATCAATCCAAAGTTAAGAAAAGGCGGGCGGGCCCGGGGGGGGAGGGGGGGGACTCCCAAAGAAAGGAAAACAAAGGGGTGGCCAACCATTTTTATGCTATGTGCGGCAAATTCAAAGCCTCAAGCAACAAATCTCGACCTACATTTGAGTTGTCCAAGGCCTTCAAATATGAATCTTCAAATGTCTCAAAAAAACATCCCCCAAACATTTTTGCGCCATAAGAGGGAAAAGAAATAAGAGAACCAAAATCCTGATAAAGAAGATAATAAACTATTCACATATTTCATGAGATTGTGTTACAAAAATCACTAATTTTATGGGAGTGGGATCACTAAATCCCTAGATTTACAAGATTCGAATCAATCCTCTCGTCATCACTAGTTTTCATAGATGGTTGCTGTGATTAGAGTCTCTTCTTCGTGGGCACTAGCATTGTCACCATCGCCAATTCATAATTGCAAATTGATGCTTTTACCAGCATCAAGAAGGAGTTGTCAATAAGATCAAAAGGAATCGCCAACGGAGATCACGAAGATTGACAAAGATCACAAAGATTGATGAAGATTATGACTTGACATAATCATGTACGTAGTTGTATTTACCATATTTAGACTGATTACATTTCTATTCAATGTAAGAAATCCAATGGGAATATCATATAGTCAAAAGTTTGTCAAAACTCATTTCTAAGTTGAGGAACAAGAACTGCACAATTAGATGGACTCAATTTAGCCACATGATTAAGATGCACCATTGAAGATCATAAACTTAAAAAATTGCTTATCATAATCTTAAAATTTTGCTGAGCTAAACCAGATGAAGATTGGAAGGCATAACAAAATTTATAGGAACACCTTATCCAAATCAAGGCAAGAGCTGCTGGAAACCATACCCAGCAGCCTGGGGCTGTCTAAGACCAACTTGAACAAAAAAGAGTTGCTATGCAACCACAGGTTGCCCTGGGCGAGATCCAGACACGTCTGATGAAAGTGGCATGTCTGGCATCCTATATCCCTAATGTTTGTCGAAAAGTATTTTTAAGGTTCATGGAGTTTTCAATTGGTCTGTTCTCACCATACCATGAGTATTATTTGTGAGATTAACCAATATTTTCCTCTGTGTAATGCAAGCTGATGGCTCCCCGGCTCCACATGCAGATGTAATATGCTGAAGCAGGCTCACACAATTAGCAATGTTTATTTGTAGCTATTTCCAGTGCTTATTGCCTATTTCTTTTTGCTGTTGTGGAGATCTTTGCACTGAAATTTTCTGTGAATTTAGGGTAAGAAAATTACTTCAATACCTGCAAAAGTTTCTTGGCTGGATGAGCATCACAAGAAAGGTCTCATGCCATGTCAAACCACCTCATTTAAAAGCTTAAAACCATTAGAGAATGGACATTCACTTATTTAAGTTTTTTCCTTCAACACACACACAAAAAAGAAAAATAATAGGATGAACACAGAATTTTATGCTACGTTAGATGTGGACAAAAAGAAATGTTGCGTATCTTTGTCTTTACTGTTGAAGATATACAAGGTGTTCCCTACAATGCAGGAGGCCTTGGTTTCATGTGTAAAATATAAAATACAGTTAACTAACGCTTACCGATTTAAGGGAAAATGATTTTCAGTCATACTTTAATGTTCGGGAGTTGCATAGGATCTCAAACAAGTCATGCCCATTTCCAAAAGGTGGGACACGAGAACATACCATGTTGTTGCAGACAGCTCTAAAAAGCAATTTGTCATATATGAGAATGAAAAATGCCAAGTAAAGAATAACAAAACAGCACATTTTGCAATTATAAATAGCCAAGTCATATCCATTTCCAAAAGGATGCCACGTTGATGCAGACAATTCTAAAAAGCAATTAGTCATGTAAGAGAATACAAATAGCCAATTGAAAAATGACGAAACAGTATATTTTGCAATTACCCACGCCACCCCCTTTTTCTCCAACACACGTCCGACACACAATCCAAATATTGATGAAGGAAAAAGGCATTTTAATAGGAAACCAACGAATAGAAAAATAAATAAATACGTGTTGCAGAAAGTGGATAAACTAAAAACAGAAATTTTGGGAAAATTTTCAAATAGAGAATGGGAAACGATTGGCTCAACTTGCCTTGATTACTGAATCACTCATCAGAAGTTCTTCAGCCATCAACTCAAACTCTGACAAAGCATAATGTATGAGCCCAAAGCTCAGAAATGCACCCCATGATAGACTAAGTTGTCCTCGAACCTAGTCAATAAATTCACAAAAAAATAGTTAGAAACAGAAAATTATGTGTAAAATCTCCATATAGGAGGCAGACATGACATGGTGAGGAAAAAAAAAATGAAAACAGAAAAGATAATAAACCCTCACAGATCACATTTAAGGAAATATTGAAATCAAACGTAATGTTCTGTATTTCACATATTTTTGTACAATATAGAGATCCTAAAGGAAAAATACTAATCTCCAAAATAAGCCCTAATTCAACTTTCTTTCACCCCCCACAATGTCCGGAATCACCATCAAACCTTCTGAAAACCGTGGCTTCAATTATGATTCCCATTCTGTTTAGATAACTATCATACGCCTTAATGGAGACAACTATCTGTGTTGGTCTCAATCAGTACGTAAGTATATTCGAGGCAGAGGAAAAATTGGGTATTTGAGTGGTGACACAAATGTGACCAGAGAGAAAAATGCCAATTATGCCACTTGGGATGCTGAAAACTCCATGATTATGGCTTGGTTGGTTAACTCTATGGAGGAAGACATGGCCTCGAACTACATGTGCTATTCAACTGCTAAGGATCTCTGGGATAATATTAACCAGATGTACTCTGACCTTGGCAATCAATCCGGATATATGAATTGCGACTCCAACTCAGTGGAATTCGACAAGGAGGGAACCTATGTAGCACGGACACTCCAACTAGGGTAGCGTGTCCATGTCCGTGCCGACACTCTTCGCACACTCTACAATAATCATTCTTTTTTCTTGCTATAACTATTATATATCTTTAACTCAAAATTATTAGTAAATAACAAATAAATACTCATATTTATAAAATTTCAAAAATAAAAATAAAAAAAATCCATAACAAGTATAAAACTAAATTTAAACTATATAAATGAAGAATTTTAAAGAATTTAATGAACGTGTCAAAGACGTGTCGTGTCGGTACTTTTTTTAAAATCACGAGTCGACGTATCCGACACGTATCGTGTCGACACACACGTTTCCATGTCGTTGCATCATAGGAGGGAACAATGTCACTAAATACTTCAACATATTGAAGAGACTGTGGCAAGATATGGATCTCTTTAATGACTACGAATGGAAATATCCAGATGACTACAATCACCACACAAAGATGATTGAAAATGATCGTATCTACGAGTTAGGCATATTTGTAGTAAACATCAAGACACAAGCAACTTCCAGAAGGTGTCGATTTTTGCGTTCAGCAATCCCATTTTGTTGGGGAGTGTCGACGCAGAAACTTTGATGGATTATCCCATGTGTTTTAAAAAAATTCCCCATGATGTTATTTAAGTATTTTGTATCATTGTCAGCGTGTAGAATTTAAATTTGTGTATACAATTAAGTTTGAATCATGGTATAAAAATTGATAAACACAGAACGAACATTTAATTTGTCTTTCAGTAGGTAAACTCAACTAATTTGAGTGTGGTCATCAATAAATGTAACAAACCATTTTGAGTGAGTATGATTCAAGGTTTGCAATGGGCCCCATAAGTCACTCGGGGTTATGGTAAATGGTTTTGATGGTCTGTATGTGGATTTTGGAAATGGCGTGCGTTTATGTTTTACAAGTTCACAAATTTTGCATTGAAGATCAATATGCTATTTATTCAAGAAAAAAGAAGGGAATACACATTTCAAGTACTGAAAAATGCTGCGACCCATTCTAAAATGCCATAACAGAATTTCACTATTTCTAGGAACAGACGCAAAATCACAAAATGAAATTTGACATGGTTCACATCGGCTTCCTAAAGCAATAGTCCCCTACATTCCTTGGCACTGTCAATTGTCTTTCCGATGATAGGTCCTAAAAAACAAAGTGAGATAGAAGAAATTTAGTAGAGCAATTGGAATTTTTTGTTAGTTGGCTTATAGATTTTAAATTGCAGGATAAATTTAGGATGTGAAGGATAGATTCAAGAATCAGAGATTTGAATACTCCCTTCTCCTACGCCCGTCGAAAGTGACCAATCTGCAATTTTAATTTTAAGGTTACCAGCACAAGTAGAACGTGAAGAAAATAAGTGGTGAGAGTCCGTTATGTGATCTGATACTCCAGAGTCAATGATCCAGAGGGTTTTGGATTATGTTGTTAATTTTAAGGCTCTCGGAAAATTAACTCCGTGGGCAAGTGAACTTGAAGGACTATTCGCAAAGGTTTGACTTGGTAGTTAGAGATTCAAAAACTTCTTAAATTAGGTCTATCTGTTCGGAATTAAAGGCACTAGTGGACTCCTTGTGTTCCTCTATTTGATAGTCAACAAATGCTTGGTATCTACAACTTCTATTATTTTGCCTCGATTTCCAATCTATCAACTTTCCATGTATGTCCTAACATGTGTCTTCTTTATGTTCTGGCTTACAACAATGCTCACACTAGAGTTGTCCCTATTTCAATTTTGGTCTTAACCCAATAGCCGTTCCTCTCATAGGCCCACTTCTTGAATTTTCAACAGGCCCACTTCCTCTAGATATTAAAGCAATCCCATGCCCAATTCCATTAGATAAAAGGGCAGAAATTTCATTAGGCCCAAATCCCTTGGTTGATAAGAGACTTCACTCCCAGTTGGCTTCCTTAAGCATCGTCTTTTGCCGGTTCTCTTCTCCTCTCACCTCCGAGAAGACCTCGTGCATTGAATGCAGAGGTCATCGGCCAAGTATGCATCCCCTAACGTCATCCAAGTCTCGATTGAGCCCAACTAAGAATTCATAAACCCGTTTATTCTCCAACCTCTTCTTGTATCGTACACTTGCTGAAGCACTCCCATTCTTCTCAACACTTAAGTCCAGTCCTTGCCACAACGTTGTCATCTCCATATAATACTCTGTCACTTCCTGTTCACCACCTAGCTTGGTTTGCCATAGACGGGTCTTGATTTCAAAAATTTGTGAACAATCCTCCGCATCGTAATACATCTCTCACCACATCCCATATATCCTTTGCCGTCGATAGGAAGAGAGGTTTTTCCTATCGTGAGCTTCATGGAATTCACGAGCTAAGCAGTAACCATTGAATCTTCTAAGTTCCATTTTTTCAGCATGCAGCATCGATCGGTTTCTTGGACTCGCTGGTGAGGTAACTAATCTTCCCTTTCCTGTCGATCACAAGCTTTATTGACTGTGCCCCTTCTCGAAAGTTCTTTCCATTTAATTTCTCGACTGTGAGTTGGAAGGAGAAGGTTTCTGGGCCATTCAAACACATTATAGAGGTGATCTCTGTTTCTAAATTTGGAGTTTCAGGGGTCATAGACCCCTTACTATTGATTAGTATTTCAGTCATTGGTTGCTTGGTTTTGAAGAACCCGGCTCTAATACCATGAAATCAAATGTAATGTTTTTCACATATTTTTGTACAATATAGAGATCTTATTTATAATACAATGAAATGAGTAAAAAAGGAAAAAAAATACTAATCTCCTAAATAAGATAATAATTCAATCAATATAATTACAACACTATTTTTGGTAAGATAATCCCTGTCAATCATCTTCAATCAATTAAGCCTCTAATGCAATCATTCGAGATTTCAACAAATATCATAAGCTCACATCAAAGTGATATGGTTAAGTATCATATTGGCTATCATAAAGCATAAAGAAGTAATTATCCAGTGAACATAAATCATTCAAAGTAAGAACCTATAAAGAAACCATAAGAAAGGATTTTCATTTTTCACAAAATAACAGCATACATATGAAAGAACTTAGTTTGAGAAAATAAAAATAACTGAATATTCACACACATATATATAGAAGAAAAGTATGACATTAAGAAAAAGAAATTGGAGAACAAAAGGAGTTACTATTTGCTTTGTGCCAAAGATGTATTAAACTTTCCTATTTTATGACGTAATTTTGCACTAGTCAAATGCTGGACAACAAATAATCAAGGAACTTGGAAGTATTATGAACATATGTCCTCCCACCTCGAACTCCAACCCCCCCCCCCCCAAAAAAAAAAAAAAAGGAAAATATAATAAGAGTCACATTTTGCAGAAGGAAGAAGGTTTAACTATAGAAAAGCATTTCATGAAAAATGATACTGGATCAAACAAATTGAATTCCCAAAACAAGAAATAGGCATCACCTAGTATCTTTGATTAAATTTCCAGCAGTTAGAAGCTCATAAGTAGCATCCTTTAGGGCGAGTACAAGAAAATTATTAATTACTGATCCTTCATTGTATCAAGAAAATGAGAAAACACATTCTAGAAGCCTTCCAATTTGGATTTAGAACATGGAGACACCCACCATTAATCAACACTTAATATATTCAAGATTGTAACAGAAATATAGCTTAAAAAATGTATTAGAAATTAAGAGTTAATGCTCTATAAGGCATGACTGGGGTCCACCTGAGGCAAAATGGTCCAAAAACATTCCATGCCTCCGGGATAGGCCTATGACCTAAGTCTCAAAGGTCAAGATGATACCTAGGACACCAAAGACTAGTCTTGAGTGCCTCCTAATTGGGGTTCACCAAATTGACAAAACATAAATTTAATTGTCAGAATTATAAACTAAGACATGTTATAAAATGCGCATGAGCTCCAAAGTGGAAAGGAACCTATACTTGCTCTGATATGAAAGAACATAACTATTTATGACGTTTATTTATGTTGAATATGTATTTATTGCTTCTGCTTATTCTATATTCTTTACTTTAATCTGCTATTCAGATATTTTCACTGTTTTAAAATCATTCCACCATTTTCTTTATCTTTAAAATACAGAAAGAATGCAGTACTCCTCTCCACCTCGGGGCCTATGCCTTGCCCTACACTTCACTCTGCGAAACAGCAGTAGCAGATTAAATCCATCAATTAGAAAATAAAAAGGAGGAAATATTACAAAAGATATTTCATGAAAGCATTGTCAGGCACTAGGATTAAATTTCAGCAACCTGAACTCGACTCCAGAGCAAAGGAAAATTTGCTCGAGCACCATTGCGAATATAAACATTTGTCCAAAGTGGTTGGTTTGGAAATTGCAGCAGAAGTGTATCAGTATCTGTTGACATGTTATAATTGTCGATGATAAGTCTTCGAGGGACAGCATCAAAGAATGTCCCAGCAGCACCTGAATTAGCAGGGCAGCCAAAACTTCTTCCTCCTGTTAAAATTTGGCCATGCAGTGTCAATCCTCAAAACAGTATATTGGCACATTCAAAGGTGATGTTCTAAAGTGCAAATAGGATGATCACTGTTATGGCACAAGATTCTAGAGATTTCTTAGACAAAAAGGGACTGAACAATCTGAACTATGGCATATAGAAAGTGACTAAAAATCCTACAAGCTCATATGAAATCAAATCAGTGCACCACATAGTAGACATAAGAATACTAATCAGCCCTTCTTTGGAAAGACAGACATGAACTACTGGCAACTTTCATTCAAAATCACACAATGCAAGCCTAACATTGATTGCATACAGAAAAATCACAAGCACACAAGCAAGAGTCCGCTACACGCATGTAATTATCCTAGAGCTATAACATCAAAAAGAAAAGTCAGACACAATAGGCATAAGAAAGAACCAATAACTAGATTACTACTCGGCCATTCTTTGGAAAGACAGCCATGAACTTCTGGCTACTTTCATTCAAAATCACATACAGGGAACCTCGTATTGATTGCATACCAGTCAAGTAGTAACCAGCTTTAATAATCATATAACATTGTTGAGATTCAATCTCTCTATTCTATAGTTTATTCAAGGTTTCCTCTTTGCTCATAATAAAACTCACAAAACAATTATTTAACCATTGAGATAGATATCTCTCATAAATATTAATTGCAAGGTTTAATGATGATAACTCATGGAAAAGTTTGTTTGCTAACAGGCCTCACCATGGACCAAAAATACAGGATCATCATGCCTGCTAAAAGCATTTACAGAAACTCTTCCACCACCACCTCCAGCAAATCCATTACCTCCAATAGCACTTATCCTGCCACTTCCAGTCCTGTTTTTGAAAAACGAACAATCAGCCACAACATGATTCTGGCCATTACAGTATTTGGGAAATAAAAATGATTTACATGTAACAAAGTTCAAGGTTAAACAGATACACATTAATTTAGCAGTACAGATTAAACACCTATCAAACACAAATTACAAGCAAATAGCTCTTGAAATCCAAGTCACATAAAGCGGAAGCATAAGTGGAATTGTCAAGGGCTATTGTTAGTGCTAAAGCATCAAAGTAAAAGTTTTCTAGAGGGCAAGAGTACCTTGGTGTGCCAATAATAACATAGTGAAAAATGAATAACAATTCACGTTTTCTTATTTCTTAATTCATAATGTACACCAATTTTACATCCTTTTATAGTAAAATTATACAAATAAGAAAAGGAAAGCAATCACTTAATTTAGGAAAACAATAAAAACCTATCAATTTATCTGTTTAAGGAAAGAATTAGGTATCTTTCCAAATTCCCTGTATTCCTGCCATAATCTCGGTTTCCTACACACAGAAAATCATTTTTGCCGGTAAGAGTGGAGTAGTGTCAGTCAAACAGCTTAGAAGACAGACGATTAAACCCAAACAAATGTGGCCAGTTGTGGTTGCTAAGGACCTATTTGTTAGATATAGCAAGGAAACCAACAAAATGCCAAAAAAATTCACGTAATTGACCACAAATTTTTCAGAGACAAGGCGTAGCTTGTTTTTCTTTTATTGTTGTTTTGACGAGCTTGTGACAAGTTGTACAACAATAGACATTTAGGCATTCCGTAATGCTTTACAACCCATAACTTTCAGGTCCAAATTCCAAAGTGAGGAAATGAGAGACCTGCTTGAACATCAACTCCGCCCTCCCATTGCATAATATTAAATGCACCTCACCTTTGGCCCAGATAGGGGATTGAAAGTTATCTGGTTAGATCGGTGCACCTTGCACCTAGAAAGTGGTGTGGTATCAAAAATTATCTTAAGTTCACAAGAGTCTCGGAAAAGTACTCTATATTTATTTATTTGTTTATCAATGGATCCTCATCTTATAAGCCTACATAGCATAGAATACTAGAGATATTGTATTCGCAAACTTGGCACATGTACATTCACTTTTACATTAACTTTGACATCCTTACACGTGGCTCCTATCATAGCCCTTGATTTTTTTTTTCAGCACCATTTCACATCACTTGCCAGATTTTGACACAGAGAGAGAATGTCATCCATAATGTAAACTAGAATGTACATCTAGAATAATTCTTGTATTAGTTGATGGTTTCATAGATTACCTGTAAGTTGAATGTTCACCCAAGTTAATATTGAGCTCTTTATGTGTATCACGGATGCATTTGTAACTTACACCAGGATACAGACCTAAACTTGAAAATATCTCACATGAAACAATTTAACTTAAATCCACATCACAGTGTTTTGTTGCCTTTTTTTTTTTTTTTTTTTTTTTTGGGGGGGTTTTCAATTTTTTAACGGGGGAGTTACCAATCTTTGAACCCCTGACCTCAATTGTGGAAACGACCGTCCTAAACCAACTAGGACAAGGTGAATTGGTAAATCCATAGAACAGTTCTGAACATAGACCTTAAGTAATTCCTCTCTCGGTTTAACTTTAATAATTAATATGCACCAGTGTTTCTAAGGTCATGATAATTCAAAAGGCCAAAAGTGAAAATCATTTAAACGAAGAGCTAGAGAAGCTAAAAGACTGTAGTGCTCACATTAAAGAAGTTCAGCATGAGGGGTACTGTCAGGGAATAAACTATGTGAGGAGTTAGATGAATCTTGCCACAGGTGGATTCAAGCAAAGACTAAGGCTTGAAACAGATTTGTGCCAGGAAAACTAGAAGAGGAATTTCTAAGATAACTACCAAAAAAAGTACTGGGAGGAAAAGAATATCAGTCTAACTAAAAGAAATATTATGACAGGTTCCCAGAGAAATATGCTGGCATAAATCAAGTAAAGTTTTGTGCATATAATAAGAGAGAGCGAAGAAAATGGAACACAGTGCAGTTCCTACAGTAGGAAATATGCTTCCACACAGTTTACACCGAAAGCATTTTAAGTAATCTAAGTACACACAAAAAGCGAGTGTACATGTAACTCAAAGAGTGTATATATGCTGCAAAATGGAAGCAGATGGCTGGTATTCACATGGTAAATCATAGTTGTGGTCCTAAGACAATGCAACATTGACCTCTAAGGTAAAGATTCATAACGAAAGGAACAAAGCACAGTTGAATTACAATACATTACATTTTTGGTGACTTGATGTAAATACTGCCACCAGAACCTCCTCCGCCTTTGATCCCACCAGACCCTCCATTGGCCAACAGCAATCCACATACATTTGCAATATCTTTTACCTCCAACCAAATTCTCCCACCCCCTTTGCCACCATAATTCTCCTCCCTATTTGTGGTTCCACCTTTACTCCCATAACTCCTTGGTGCCCCCAGGGATTCCCAAGAATACGTATCCCCACCCCACACGTCCTCAGGCAACATCTTACTATCCATTACGCAGCTTGCACCCCGGCCCCCATGTCCCCCGCCTCCACCCTGCACCTCCCTAGGTGTTCCAGTGGAGTCCTCCGGAGGCTCCCCCGCTAATGCCGTCACGTTAATGAGTGAATCCCCGAATAAACTCGCATTCCCAGCTACTATATAGACCGACCCAGCTACAATTTTCGCAAATGGGTTCAACCTAAATTCACCGGTGATGTTGATCTCAATTGAACAGCCCAATTCCGGGCAGATCAAAGATATCCCCTGAAGAATGAACAAATTCCCATTACCTTCAATATAAACGTCTTGTGTAATATTCAAGCTGTAGCTGAGCTCACAGGTGGTATTAAGGGAGCCGATGCCTTTAAGATCCTCGCAGGATAAGGAAGGAGAGCGCATCGGCGGAGAAGGAGAAGGGGGAGACGGCAGCGAGTAATCCCCCCGAAATGGTTTTGATTCATCATCATAGTCTATAATAGAAAAATCTGAGGGTGAACAAAATGCTTTAAGAATTGGGCTTTTGAGGAAAAGGAAAGTGGAAGAGTAAACAAAAAGCGAAAAGAGAGTAGCCATGAAAGTTCATAAATTGAGTTGGATAATTGTACGAAATGTGAAATCAACAGGTTTGCATAATGTACGTGTATTTGTATGAATAGGACAGTGTATGCATGAATAGGTGGAAAGAGAAGAGGTAGAACAGGTGGAGAAAAGACGAGGAGAGTTCGGAAGCTGGTTTCATTTTCCTCCAAGAGTGTGCCTTTGTCAGCAGGGGGAGCGAGGGAGGGAGAGAGAGAGTAGGGGATGTGGCTGAATCTTGGACGCAGTTATTAGTTGGCCCAATTTTTTGAGTTGAAATCTGCTATTTAAAAATGATTGTTCTATTTGTAGTAAATCAACACATCATTTTATATCAGTACAAGGTATCGTGACAAAAGTTGAACATGATGATTTAAAATGATGTGTCAATAAATTATTGAACGGACAACCGATTTTAAACAGCAGATCTCAACTTCAATTTTTGTTGGGCTAGGAGTAACCATGGAGAATTTGGCATTTGAATTTAAAATAGGAAACTTTTTAGAGATTAATTCGTAACTATTACACTATAGGAACCAATTTTCACAACTAAGAAACTCCCTAAACAATTTCATAAATCAAGTAGTATATAAAATTATAATATAACATACACTAAATCTAGATTAAATATAAGAAATCAATTATCTGCTATATTTAAAAGATATATCTCTCTCTAGTTTCTCGAAATCATATCAGTTTCTCTCTCTAGAAGTTGAGCTCTAGAAAAATTGTCTAAAATCGGTGAAATTTCACCATTCAAAGTTGATTTCAAGCCAAAATCACTGAACGAAATCACAATCCCATAGTCACAAGTCTAATATTCGTTGTTCTGGAGAGAGGAAGCTCGTTTGTAGAGTGATTGGTTTATTCTCAAAGCAAAAAATATAAAATCCGTGATCTGATTTCGAAGGTAAGATAAGTTTCCCAGAAGCTTATAATTTTACACGCATTAATGTTTTCAAATTTTCCTCCACGTATATAGAGATTTCCTTCTTCATTTTTTTCATATACAATTTACAATTCCTTGACATGCTGATTTTTACCATCTTTCAACCTATTGAGACATCATTTTTCAATTTACAATTCCTAAACTATCGATGTGACTATCTCTGACCATAGGTATACATCATTCACATTGATACATGTTTCTGGTAAATGTGACTAGTTGTGACTACTTTATTGAATAAATTGTGAACTATCTTTTAAATGTTGTGACAGTGTGTACGTGGAACTAGTTTAATCAGTGACTAATGTCAATGTATTGAAATTGACTCTCCATGACTCTAACTATGTAGATTGTATGTGAATGTCTACAGTAAATGTGAATTTTTGTGACATGTATTGATCTGTATGTGACTTCTTTATCCTAATATGTGATCAATGCCACTGTATGTCAATCAGTTCACATTACGTGTGAATATGTGGTCTGAACTGATCTATATGAGACTTATTTTTCCTGTATGTTATACTATTATATTTGAATGAAATGTTATGCATCTATGTTAGTTATTTGTGACTAAATATGACCTGGTATCTACACATTGTCTGTCTCAATAGTTATGAATGTTCATGATTCTTATTAATTAACTTTGACATGTTGTTATATGTGTGTGATCATGGATGATAGTTTTACACATTTGCCTATTGTACCGAGGTCACATGTCACCTATCCTAGTGATGATACGTGCAAGTACAATGAATTGATTGAGCTTGTTAGTTCATGGCTTAATCATGCAGAAGTAGTTGTGACAATGACATAATCTTTGGATTCTATGTTACCTCCAATCTGAACTCTAAGCAATAATAATGTCCTAAAGTACTTGAGGCTAAAATCTATGGATGGGATTGTATCGAGTTATCCTATTAAGAATGATATTATGACTTCAGATTAATTCTAGTCAAGATGTGCATTACAATGCCTAAAATCGTTGACTACTTTCGTTAAGTCACTAGCTAATGTGTTTTCTTTACAACAAATAGTGTAGGAGGTCTGTGACTCAATTGTGGCCGTTGAAGAAGGAAATGTTGAAAATGTGACATTTGTATCCCAAGCAAATGCAAGAGAAGCAGTGGACGGAAATATTTTTCCCAACAAGAAAAATACTGAAAATGAGCTTAGCATTCTATACCATACAAAACAAGTTTGAATATAAAGTATGAAGATCGAATATAAAGAGTACGTAATAAAGTGTTCGCACAATGATTGCAAGTGGATATATAAATCTTCACATTTTGGAGAAACGAAAAATGTTTAAGATCATGGAAATGTATAATGGTCACACGTGCTCGATGAACATTGTTATAGGAGCTCATCGGCATATTTTTAGCTCAATTGCATCAAATCGAATGAGGTACAAATACACTTTTTCACATACAGTATATACTCCTTATGATATCTCAAATGACATGTTACATAGATATAGAGCATCGGTGAATTATATGAAGGCATGGAAGTCGTGTAAACAGGCATTGAAATTGATTAGAGATGATCCAACAACAACATTTCAGTTGCTGCCTTCTTATTTCTATATGTTACAACAGATAAACATAGGAACAATTACAAGAACGAAAACAGATCATTTAAATAGATTTAACTATTTCTCTATGGCTTTAGGAGCATCGATCACTAGTTGAAAATATTGTAGGCCAATCATTGTTGTTGATGGCACATATTTAAAATGCCAATACGAGGGCATACTCTTCATGACTTGTACACAAGACAATGAAAATGACAGGTCATGAACATGGTTTCCTAACATGTTAAAGAGGTATATGGACCGAGAGATGGATTATTCATAGTATTGGATAGACATGATAGTATAAGGAATGTAATTGAATTCGTATTTCCAAGGGTAAAGTTTTTCTACAGAGTCACACTACTAAAAAACTACTTTTCACCTACGAAAAATTACTAACGGATTACTCTATTTTTCACCTACGAAAAATTACCAACGGATGTAATCTGTTGGTAATTAGAAATGAATTATCCGTTGGTAAAAGTTATTTACTTTCAACTACGATAATCAACAACGAATTTTGCGTTGATAACGATAATATTTCTTTACCAACGGATATTTCGTGCTCATGTAACCATTTAACATTTGAGTCTTCACTTACAGATATTCCGTAGGTGATATACTGAATATTCCCAATGGAGGTAATTAGAAACTGATTATCTATTGGTAAAAGTAATTCACTTTCAATTACGATAATTAGTAACGGATTTTTCATTGGTAATGATGATATCTCTTTACCAACGGATAATTCGTGCCTCTGATAATCGTTTAACACTTGGATCATTCACCTATGGGTATTTCGTTGGTAATTAGAAACGGACTATCCATCGGTAAAAGTAATTTACTTATCCCACATCGAAAGTTCACAACAAAGTTTTCGGAGTTGCCTTCTATAAATTAATTCGTGGTCCAATAAGTGATTAAACAATATTTTGGCCTGTCAATTCGGTTGGCTAAAAGTTAAAAAAAATAGAATTATCAAATAATTAATAATAACAATAATAAATAAATAAATAAATTTTTTACCATGTCTCACACATATGCGGCTATTTATAATATTGATTTTTACCAATTGTAATGGTAAACATTTACCAACGAAAAGTCGGTTGGTATTGATTAAGATTTTTACCAACACAAATTTTGTTGGTAAAAGATTTACATTTTACCAACGAATATAATGTTTGCTCATTACCTACTGTAGGATTTGTTGGTAATTATCAGTGACCCTCAAATTAGCAACGGATTTGCAGTTGCAAATATTCTATTGATAAAGAGTAATTGCAATGGATATCGAGGTTTCAGATACGAAAAATCTGTGCATGAAGCTATAGTTTTTAGTAGTGTTAGTAGCAATATGTCCCAGATTGTTGGGATTAGGGAAGCTGTTCATAGGTTCAAAGACAACCTGATTGAGAACTAGGGATGGAGGGGGGGAACACATCCAGCAATGCATGGGATCTGTTCGTGTTATTTGCTTAAAAATTTGAAGACTAATTACCCAAAATCAAGTCACAACATTACATATGCATTAAATTCTATTGTAGAGCATATACAGTGGATGAATTTGAATATTAAATACAACAATTAGACTCAACGAACGAAGAAATCAGGGAATAACTAGTATGTGACTGCAAAGTTTGAGCTTGCAACTCCCTTCTATCCTCTTGGAGGTGGAACCACAAGATCATCATTTGCGACTTCTATATCCACATTTGGCTGTAGCACACCAACATATGGAATTAATGCTAATAAAATGACTTTGGTGTGAATTGAGGGGTAGACTCCCTTTTGCCCAACTAATTTTCATGGCTCTCAACAGTTTGATGTGGCTGTTTTAGCTTTAAGTAGGCATATCTATCATGTAACACAAACAAAATCAATTTAGACAATAATACGAATCAGGTCACATTATATCGAACATAAGTTATATAAGATATATTGGAGATTCATGCTCACATTGCAATTCACATTGTAGTATTTCGGATCACATTAATATAGTAGGTAACATTATTATAGCAGGTCGCATACAGAGTGTCACATGCTTCAATTAATTAAAAAATATATGTCATTTCACATTATAGTATTGCCTTCACATAACAGAAATTCATAAGGTTCAAGTCACATGAAAACTGCATGTCACATTATAGTATTACATGTCATAAACATATTGTATTTCATATCACAATATATCTAAATTTCATATTTGAACTTGTCATATAAAACGCCATAAGCTCAAGTTTATCTCATCTAGGTGGATTCACGATTTAAAAAAGTTAGACATATGTCTTATCTTAAATATGATTAGTAAGACAATTCATAATGTATGTAAAACTTACATTGTAACTGGAAAACATCTTCTCATCCAACAATGCCATAGAAAAAGGTGTTGTGCACTTTAATTTATTATTCAAGGGTGTTTTTTACCCACAACTCTGGCCACATTCCATTCAATACCAGGTACACATTAATACAACCACTCTTAAAAAGCAATTAAAAATCAGACAACCTATAGTAGCTGTTTCTTTCTGTAAAACTTTTTTCAATGATGATAATATCAATTCAAAGAGATGTTTCTCCTAAGGGAACATATCCAGAGTCTCAAAATATCAGCAAATCCAAATATATAATGGTCAACCACCTTCACGTATGGTGTGGCAAACAGATGATTTGTGAACAGATAAATGATCAATAATCTAGCCACACTATATTTAGAAGCATCATCATCTAGTGACAAAAATAC